TGTCAGTTTTGGAGCCCATTTTGTCAGACGCTCATTTTTGCATAACTTACGAAAAACTTAATTATTGCAAAATTGCTAACAGTATTATAAAAATTGCTTATACTATCTGATAGAAGACATTTTTTATTTTGTATTTATGTTTTTGAAGTTGTATTTTTACCTTTTGTTTAAGAAATATTGTCTAAAAACAAAGTGGTATATCGGTATCGGTAACCTTCCTCTATCTTTTAATGGGATAATATTTTTGGGGAAGAGAGTTTTACCAAGTCGTTTATCTATAATCACTATTTGTTCACCAAATTTTGAAAATATATAATAAATTTACCAATTTCTTTTCTTTTTCAAGATTTGGAAAATATTAATACAAAAGTAAATCGATCCCTTTCTCATTATATTTCGTATTTGTGAGAAAACGTTGAAATTAATTATTTAAATTATTATAAAATTAACACATTATTTTTATAATGTGTGTTTGTGTAACATCATCAAGTTTCTTGTAAAAATTTATCAGTATACAGTCTTGTCGAAATAAAATCCTTGTAATATTATTAATCCTAGAATCATAAACTATCGTAAACTTGACGACGCGTATATTTATGATTCTTCGGTTAAATAACTATAAACAAATTTTAATTAATAGCTATAAATTTAGCCTCGAGTATCACACACAACTTGAAAGAAGTCTCTCAAAAAACACAAAATTTAATACAAATTATATAAAATTCCAAGCAGAACAACAAGTCACGATAAAGTCAAAATGACATAAAAATGAATCGGAAAATGATAGAAAAATGACTTTTAATAATCATTTTGGAATCACTTTGACATCATTTTGATATCATAATAACTTGCGGTTCTGCTTAAGATCGCTTAATTAAAAATCAAAGTATTTTTTACGCCTTCTGACGCAAACGAGCAAAAGTACGTATTTTATTTCGCGGCTTGCATTTTTTTTTCTCGTTAAGGTCGCATACACTATAATAACTTCGAGCTACGACATTTCTCTTTCCACGGGTAGCCGCGCATCGTTTCAATACGCTTCGCGATGTCTCGCGACAGTTCCTACGTATATAACGCGGCCGCCGATAGGTAAATTTAATAATAGCGCGCAGATACCGCGGAGCCGACGTGTAAGTTATAACGGGATCGCGTGGGTGCGGGCAAGACTGCAAATTACTTGGCGGAATCCACTGATAGATTTGATACGCTTCGTGAAACCATTTGATTACAAGTCCGTTTTCGTTTTCGTCAATCTGGTAGGCACAGGTCAAGTCCACCGGTCCGGTGCCGTTGCGCACAGCCATCGGCACGTCCAAAGATTTTATCAAAGAACCACGAACCCCTGCGAAACATTTTTCGATAATTTAATTATACGGACGTACACAATTATTTCAAGTCGTGATATTCGTCAACGATAAATCCGACAATCGTCGAGGATCAAAAACCAATTAAAAATCATCATTAAACCGTCGTTCACACAAAAGCGGGAAATTTCCAGATTAATATTAGCTCGTCGCACGTACAACTTTACCCAAACTATTCTTAGAATTACAACTTCTTGAATCGTACTGCGACATTATGACACGAAATAACGTGCGCGTTTAGAGATGTTTGCCAAAAATCAGGAAGAAATTCTAAATAAGTTCTGATCGCGAGATGGATAGATATAAGTTAACAGAAGTCGGATAAGAACTATATAACAGAAATTATTTGAGGGATTAGAAATAAAAAAATCTCTACGTTTTGCGTCTCCCTGCGGAAAATATTACTCTGCCGTAATTCATTCCCGTATCGCAATCACCTCGATCGAATACTTTCGAATTGAGATACAAGTAATTTGCACAACACACTGACACACGTTCGAACGGGAGCGACGATTCCCGCGGATCGTCGCGGATCGGTATAACTCACCCGAATAATATTCGAATATTAGGAGAACGATTATCGAGGGCGAGACTACCGTGCGTGATATCGACGGCATTCTTTCCAAGGTCCCTTTTCACACTGGTGCACAATTAAATACGGCTCGTCTAACTCATGTTACACCATAGCCGATACGATTCTGCGCAGCGTTAGGTATCGCCAGCCTCGTGTGTCCTACACACGTTCCGCAGACTGGCCAACGCTGGCCAACGCTGGGGTGCGTTCAGGAATTACGCCTAGGTAACTCCGGGCTATAGCTTGCGTTACGTATACTATAGTAAACGTGCACATTGGAGTTATCTAAGCGTAATTCCGGAACCCCTGCGTCTTGCTGTCCCGCGGAAATGAACGAAGAATCCGGAACGGAAGGAACTGATCCTTCAATCGGGAAGAGATTCCTTATAAAGTTTCTTTCTTTTAAAAGTGAGTGTACAGGAGGCTCTCGGGAGTCGTAGATATACTGATCGACTTTGAAATAAAAAGCGGAGAAAATTAATGTAATTACAAAGTAGTCGTAGTTGCTGCAATAGAGAGTATTCAATCAAGATATTGCAATAATAGTAGTCAGTCTGGCTTCTGGAAGACTTATACGTGCAATCTCCGTATCGATGAGTTATAGCAGCGCTTTTTCTTTTTAATTATATTCGAAAGAATATAATTAAAAATCCTGCACATATATATGTGTGTGTGTGTGTGTGTGTGTAATTATTAAAATGTAGACAAATTAATAACAAAATATAATTTTCTTTCCTAAACTTTAACGTTACTTTTTAGTAAATATTATTAATATATCTTACTAATATATCTAAATATATAAGAAATATTTTTATAATGTATGGCTATAAATAAGAAACCCACTTCAAGAAACAACTTTAATACTAAGTATATCAATTATTGAACGGGCAATAAATTTTTTACGTTTTAAACTTATTTAAGACAATATAATTCTCATATCAAAACTTAAAATAAAAGAAGAAAGTAATTTTTAATCAAATCTTCCTATTTCGACTACCGAGACATGATATTAATTGTAATAATCAATATATGGACAAACCGAATCGGCACACAGTAGTCTATTAAGATCTGATTTAATTATATTTGCATATTCGCTTATGAATTATTACTAATTGTAAGACCCAAATTTGTGTTTATAATAAGCGTT